AGGGTCCAAAAAACTGTGTTTTTATGAGGCTGTCTGGTGTTTCTGATAAAGCACTTTGCACGTGTTTCAAATAGAATAAAATTGGAAAACTACTAAAACAATTCCTTTTGTAGACCACTATTGAATGCTTTATTACACTACTTCATTGTACCATTACCCACTTCACAAAGGTTTGATCTAAAGTCTCCAATGACTTTAATGCCAAACCTCAACTAACTCAGAGTGAAGAGTTTAAAAGTCAACCACAATCTAAGTTTTTCCCTGCTTCTCTCCCCTATGAGTCCCATTCATCCTACAATTCTTATTGTTTCCCAAACAGGAAATGCTCTTTCTTCTGGCCAGGAAGGTCATTTCATAGGTGCTTTCTAGAAATTGAATAGTTCCTTTAAGAAGTATTTGTGACGGACTCGCTAACATATACTATGGATGTATAGGCTGGTGTTTGCTAGAAGAACATGAATATAACAAATTGTTTGCTCCAAACTCTGTACATATAATTTAGGCTGCTGCTTCAAGATAAGTGGCATGTTTGACTTAAAATGTATCTGCTTAAAAATCACTATTTACTATTATTTTATTTTACTTATCTGTAAATTATCCCTCACATCACTCATGTATAATTTGTCTGTTAAAACAGACCTTTAGCCCTAACTGGTTTGGCTCAGTGAATAGAGCGTGGCCTGCGGACTGAAAGGTCCCAGGTTCGATTTCGGTCAAGGGCATGTACCTTGGTTGCGGCTCATCCCCAGTAGGGAGTGTGCAGGAGGCAGCTGACTGATGTTTCTCTCTCATCAATGTTTCTAACTCTCTATCTCTCTCCCTTCCTCTCTGTAAAAAATCAATAAAATAAAATAAAAATTTAAAAATAAACAAACAAAAAAACCCAAACCTTTAAAAGTAATTGAAACTGTACAACTCCAGTGCAGGATGTTTATAGTGGGAAGACTAGCAGGGAAGGGGGACTCTTGTACTTCCTCCTCAATTTTGCTATAAATCTAAGACCATTCTAAAAAGGTAGGCTCTACTAAAAAGAAAAAATAAAGTAATTAAACTTGTTATAGCTTCCACTTAGGTGGTAGAAACCTGGAGAGGGGATTAGTTCCACCCTAAAACAAAAAAATAAGGTTAGATAATCTACAAAATTATAATTATTCTCGAAATCCTCAGTACGGTGAGACTGAAAGGCAACCAAAGAGTGTGAAATCTTGGGATAGATAAGTATATCCACAGAGAGACAAGATGTGAGCATTTACTCACCTAAGCCAGAGCATGGGAGGAAAATAGGACAGCCAAACAAGCCAGTGAGAACTGCTTTAACAGATGGCTGAAGTTGGAGTGTGGGGTACTATACTAGAAAGTACAGGATGGCTCAGAGCCACCGCAAAAATAAGAGTTCCCATCAATTTTCAAGATTTTCTCCACAGAGTTAGAACAATCTTCACAAGAATGCTTGGGAGAGGGTGGAAAACCAGGCAAAGCCTCCTTCATGGTGGAGCTCTAGTGAGAGCAGCCATAGCCTCTGTGTAAGCAGGAGGCACGCTCCCATCACCAAGTCGGTCTCCCTAATGGAACAAAGCCTGAAGCCACTGGGGAAGGACAGAAAACCCTGCTCCCCTCAGAGACAGATGAGGACTCATTGCTTAGGGAAGAGAACAGGAGAAAAACAAATAAATCAAAACATTCTAGCCCTGAGATTTCCACTGGACAGAAAACCTCTCTGTGTTCAATGATCCATCTTCTCACACTGTGGAAGAGCAAGATCACAAAGAAAGCCCCAACCCTGAAACACAGAAAGAAAGGATTTGCCTAAGACTGAGTCAGAAGCAGGACAACACAGAATAAACCTTCAATCTCTATCACAAGACGAGCAGGAATTGAGGAACAAGGAACAGCGATTAGCCATGGAGGAGAGGGAGCATGCGGGAAGGTCTCTGACATGCAGTCCCATAGGGAGAGCTTAAACGTAAGGGTGGAATAGCAACCACAGAAATTCCACCCCAGTCACAAGTAATGCTAGAGAAAATAGAATTTGTTGGTACATTGATGATAACCACAGCAAAAACAAAATTCAAACCCAGCTCAGACCATGACCAATTGATTCCCACACTCTCTCCCAGCAAACAAGATTACAAGGAAAACAGATGTGCCCATTTTGAGTCATAATACTATTTATCAGAGCCTATTATCCTATACATAAAATATACTGGTTTCAATCCAAATTAAATGCCAGAGGAAAAGGCAAGAAAATTACAATCCCACTGATCAAAGAAATTAACAGAACCAGAATCAGATAGACTTGGGTATAGGAACTATCACACAGGGTTTTAAAATAATTCTCACAAATAAGTTAAAGGATCTAGTGGAAAAGATGGAAAGTAACATAACTGATACTCTATCCTCTGAGCCAAACCGGTTAGGGCAGAATTGTGAGATTTTAGAGGAGATATGGAATCCACAGAAGAACTCCATTCTGGGAAAAGATGAAGTATTCCTCTGAAATCTTTTTTGAATCACATGACTTGACTTCTATTTCCCCATTGCCACTTCTTTAGATCAAATTCTTCTTCCTCATGAACAACAACTGATCAGTCTCCTAGCTGGTTTCATTGGCTCCAATTTTTCCTCCTATGGCTCATTTGCCAGGGTGATAATTCAAAATTTGAATTTGGTCATGCCATTCTCCAGCTTAAAAATGTTTGCTGGCCTTCTGTTGCGATTACAGGTAAGAGATGTTTTGCATTAGGTGTGCTTTGTGATCTGACCATTCTTTAGCTGTCTGCTTCATCCCCACTACTTCCTTCATCTTCTCTGCATTGCAAGAGCAACTTTGGGGCATTATTGAGCTTCCATACTCTCTCCCAGTTCAGCACCATTCAAAGGTCAGCCTTTGCTTGAGTTGCTTAGTAGGTAACTTGTTCTCACTTTCTTGGTCTCCACCTGGACCTCTCTGATCCTTTCATTCAGGAAGACTTCTGCATTTACCCCTGTGAAACAACACTGCATTTTAACTGCTTCATTGTACAGTTCTATCATTATGAGAATTATATTATGTTGACTATTGTCTCCTATACCATTTACAAAATTTACACCAAGGGAAACATAGCCAAAGAAATCACTAGCATTGACCTCTTTGGGATGCTTGCCTATACTGCAACCCTTAGGCTTGGATTATTTTAAGGTAAAATTAAAATACCAAAATGGGCTCCAGATTAAATGAGCCTTCAATTTTGCTTAAATGCTGAGTGACTGTGTCAATGTGCTCCCAAATGGAAGAACTGCACATCAATTGACTTAAAGAGAGGACGGGAAAAAAGGTGCTTTGAGACTTCTTCAAAGGAGGGAGGGTGGGCAAAGATGAACTGCTATCACGTTCTTTCTCATCTTTCCTCTTCCTAGTCCTGTGTTCAGATATTTCTTCCTGCTCTTTTACCTTATCTAACTCAGGCTTTTTTTCTCAGAGATGTGGTCCACTCAGACTATTCCAGCTCAGTGCTGTGTGCAGAGGAGGGATGGGACACGAGAGGGTGACGTGTGCACAGACGATTCCCAAATCCATTTTAAGGTTGTCTTATCTTTCATTGCATTTGACTGAGGAATTTTTTTCTCTCTCAGAAAACTATATATTTCATAATTTATGCATTATTTTGTATTTTATGTGCTTATTTTTTTCTACAGTATCAGAATAAGAGGTAATACATTTTTCAGCAAAAGGACAGCTTTAAGATTTAAATAATACCACTTACAAATGCAGTAAAATTCATCTCTAATGGTTTGTATATTCAAGCAGTGCCTGAAACATGGTTTTCCCTTGAACAGTAATAGCCACATGTACAAACAACTTTTACTTAGATTCCTATTAGTGTAAACAAAGACCTTCAGTTGATGCTTCTCCACTGAGTTATCTCCACCACTCAAACACATTATGTCCACATGAAATAGTTCCAGCACAAAAGCATTTAACCAGCCTTGATAGTAACACACTTCTCAGAATAGTGACTCACACAATTACTAGATCCATTGATATACTGTAGCATGTACATTTTTAAAAAGGGAAATGTGAAAGTGATGTGTTATCAATGAAAACATGATAATCTCATACAAAATGTAGATGAATATTAGTAAGAACCAGTGATCCAATTTGAGATCCATGAATAGGTCCATGTCTATAAACAATGTGACAAATCAAAACAGCAAACATGTTCTTTTAATTACTCTCAGGCCATATGAATGAAGAATAAGTGTGGGAATTTCTGGTACAGGCGTGTTTGACTCCTCTGAACATGCTCCTGGAACATAAAAATACCCCCACATCACATAACCCAACTTAAACACTCCATCTCCTCTTCCACATCACCAATTCCCTTTCATCATCTCACTCCTTGCCAGGGCTAACCAGCAGACCCTGAGCGGCTGATGAATGATGACTCTGACACGTGTTTCTGTGAAAGAGGGGGCTAAGGGACTGCCTGGCTAAAGGAACCAGACAGCCTCATTTGCCTGCCTCCTTAGGCTCTTATTGTAGCAACAGCTTGAACTAACATTAACCTCTAGATACTATCAGAAGAGCAGGTATACTTGAGAAAACACATGTATCTGCAGTCTCCTTTAAACAAGAATGTTTTGCAGTCTAAACATAAAGATTCCAGTAAAACACCCCGGGGGCTCAGACTTGTTTGGAAAAGCAAGGCAGGGTCTGCCGCCTTTGACAAGAATCCTTTAGAGGCCTCTGACCTTTCAGAGAATCCTCCTTACAGACTTTCCAACCAAGTCCCATGCTTCCCCACAATTCCTGGTTGCCAGGGCAAGGCAGTTAAAGCCTATCATGTCTGAATTAAGTGGGAGAACACACAATGCTCTTTTTCTAAGTGATGCTCATGATTCATCAAGTTCCAAGTTTTGACATTAATCCAGATAATTGCCCTAACAGTTTCTGTCAGACCCCTTCGCCTCCTTATTCCTTAGACTGTAAATCATGGGGTCAGCATGGGTGTCAAAATGACTTAAAAGAGAGAGATCAACTTCTTCTGAAGGCCAGAGGGGCCAGAGTGGGGCTGGGTGTAAATGAAAATGGCCATGCCACAGCACAAGACAACCACTGTGAGGTGGAAGGCTTTCTTTCTTCCCTCTGTGGACCTGATCTTTAGGATGGTGGAGATGATCTTGACACAAGACAAGAGAAGCAGGCAGAATGGTGACATCAGCAGGACAATGCTAGAAACCATGACTGCAATCTCATTGGAGGAGGTGTCCACACAGGCCAGTCTGACCACAGCTAGGAGTTCACAGGATATGTGATCAATAAACTTGTTGGAGCACATGGGCAGCTGAAAGGTGATCACAGTCTGCATGAGAGAGTTGACAGAGCCACTGACCCAGGATGTGATGGCCAACCTAGTACAGAACCCTCCATGCATGATGACCAGGTATCGCAGGGGGTCACACACAGCCACATAGCGGTCATAAGCCATCACTGTCAGTAGAACAAACTCAATCCCACCCAATCCCAGGGAAAAAAATAACTGGGCTGCACAGCTCACGAGTGGGATTACTTTATGTTCTACGAGAAAATGAACCAACATCTGAGGGACTATGGTTGTGGCATAAGAGACATCAACAAGGGAGAGGTTGGTGAGAAAGAAATACATGGGCGTGTGGAGTCGGCTGTCCAGTCTGATCAGAAGAACAATGAGGAAGCTCCCCAGCACTGTCACCATGTATGTGATGGAGAACAGGACAAAGAGAGAGACCTGAGTGTCCCAGTCACTGGACAGGCCCAGAAGAATAAACATTTTTTCCAGTAAAAAATGTGAGGATTAGTAATCTGCAGAGAACATCAGGAATAACAGGAGCTTTTAAATTAAAGAACCATTGGAATAACTTCTAAAGAATGCATATTTTATATGAACTGTTAGACAGAACTAGTTCAGATCATTTATGGGCCAAGATAATAGGTTTTGTTCCAATATGTATTATATTTGCTCTGCATAAGAGAGGTTAGCCCCTTTTAAAAACATGATATGGTCTCAGTCAGTCAGTTAAATCCTAGAGAGAATGCAGTGGAATCTGGGAAGTTCTGTATCTTACCTATTTTCCAGAGCAGGAGATGATGGTAGTTGACAATGGAAGATAAAGTGATAAGCAATGAAGAAAAATATTTTTTAAAGTTCAAGAACTACTATGCACATATGTGCTAGACCAAATTACAAAAAAGAAAAAAAAATATTTGGGAGAGACAGATGTATCCTATAGATAAGGCTGGTATCTCATGGAAAGTTCTGGAAATAGAAAGCCTGAATAGGAATCCTTTTATGACTTACTGGATGTGTGAGGGGATTAAAGATTTAAATGTTCACTTACAAAATGAAATTATGTTACACAATTTACAAGTATATTTAAGCTCAAATATAAACAATTTACAAGGAAAGTAATTTATGAACTGTTACTGCTAATAGTGCTATAGTGTGGGTATCAGCTACAGCATTAGAAACCTAGAATAACATGGGTTTGTGTTTTTTTTTCATGTACCCTCCACAATTTCAGACATAAGCAAAAAGGAAGCAAAACCTTTAATAGATTTCAAGTCTAACAAGGTGGCTTAAATTTGAAGCTCCAGAGAAATATGGGTGTTTTGAGAATCTGGTGTCATTCAGTGTAGAATGAGAGGGAGTAGAGTGATAATTTTATCTTGATTCTTTTTACTTTTCTGCAATTCTGTTTACTCGTTCTGACTTGCTCTTGTTATTTTTCTACAACTCTAGCCCTTGCATATGGTCTCAGTAAAAATACAGTATGAAAATGGCTGCTAAGGCTTTCCAGTACAGAAGGAGAAAAAGAAAACAAATCTGTTCACATTTATTTTTGGTGTTGCAAAATCTTTTATTTGGCTAGAGGGTGGAATTAGAAAACTATAAAACCCCAGAAAATTGTCACACAGATGATAGATTATCTGATTATGTTTGTTTGCCCTGTGTAAAATAGCACTTAAATCTTCATCTTTGAGGAAGTGAAGCAAATCTACCCAAGCACCTTCCCACAGAACCTACTTCCCATGGAAAATGTATCAATGAAGCTAAACCCCTATGCACATTATATTTATATTCACTTTTAAAGCTTGTAAGGACAATGAAATTACAAATTGGTTTGCATATTAGAGGTTTTCTTGATTTAAAAAATTGCAGTTTCGGAAAATGGCGACCAGCAGAAAGGTAGGGAGGGAGAGAGTGTGAGAGTGCAAGGAAGTGATAGTGTGGATGTGTATGGTGTGTGTGTGTGTATGAGCTAGGGACAGTTAGATTCTGCAGGTCTTCTAAGGGGCTGCTAAACCGGGCAGTGTTAGGCGGCAGAGCCCCGCTCCCTGCGCGGCCACTCCTGGTCGGCCAGCACGGGCACAGCGACCATGCCATCTTGGGAAACAGAGCTGCTTGAGACTAGGACCCTGGCCTCAGCACCACCCAGTCTGATCTCAGACGCATACCAGGACCCTGCAGTCACTGGGGACAGAGACCTGTGACCACAGCTTACAGACCTGCGGACACCAAGAGTTCAGAAATCCCCCTGGCAGATCCGTGAGTAACAGAGCCCATCCCCCTCCCTGCAGGCTCACGGGCAGCGCCATAGTAACTGATAGACCCACCCCTTGCCCAGGCCTCAATGCTGCTACAGGAACTTTAGCCTGGAAGTGTGCGAGCACCTTGGAACTGATCCTGCGTGTACCGCCGGCTTCTGGAGCCCTGGGCTGGGAGCAATCGCGAGATCACTGGGAATTTGTCCCGCCTAGCGCGGGCCCAGGGACCCCATTCTCTGGGCAGGAGGCAGCTCCAAGCACCAGTGACTTGACTGTGTTTCTTATCACCTGCACCTGAGATCCCTGATTCCCTGTGCATTCACACTAAGAGCCAGTGACTCCAATTCTTGGTGCAAGGGCACACAGGGAACCTGATTCTCAATGCAAGGTCACGTGAAGCAACAGAGACTCTGATACTGGATTCTTGGGGAACTCTGACTCCTGGCGCACACTAGGGGGCGCTGATTTTCAACATGCTCCAGGGGGGTCTCTGTTTCAGCATGGTGCAGGCAGGGTCCCTGATTCTAAGGGCGCACACGAGGCCACACTGAGCACTGGCAACACTGACTCTGAGCGAGCCTGGTTCCCACCAACCCACAACAACAACACAACTTAGCGTCAGAGCTCTTCAGTGACACTAGGGTGGTGTGAGGCTCCAACTGCACACGACCCTGGCCCACGCAACTCGACGTTTGAACCATAAGGAGAAAATCAAAATGAAGAGACAATACAACACCCAGAGGAATGACAATGAGGAGTCGCCAAGAAAGGAAATTAATGAAGTTGAAGCATGCAACATGACAGAAAAAGAATTCAGAATAATGGTTGGACAATTCATTCACCAGATGGATGAGAAAATCAACAACCTATGCAAGAATCCGGAAGAAATGAAAAGTGATATAGCTACAATCAAAAACACCATGGAAAGTTTCAACAGCAGACTAGGAAGCAGAGGGGACCTAATTAGTGAGTTAGAAGATAAGGCAGAGAAATAAGCTCAATCTGAACAGCAACTGGAGAAAAAAAATAAAAAGCGGGAGGAGAGCCTAAGGGAGCTTTGGGACAACATGAAACGAAGTAAC